GCATTGCCTGTAGGTCCCAGTTACTTCAGGAGGCTGAGACAGGAGATTTGCATGAACCTGGGAGGTGTAGGTGGCAGTGAGCCGAGATCCTGCCACTGCACTCCGAGCCTGGGACGACAGGAGCGAGGACTCCACCTCAAAACAAAAAAAAAAACCAGGCGGGCGCGGTGGCTCATGTCTGTAATCCCAGCACTTTTCGAGGCCATGGTGGGGGGATCACAAGGTCAGCGAGATCAGAAGACTATCCTGGCTAACACAGTGAGAACCTGGTCTTTACTAAAAAATACAAAAAAATTAGCCCAGCGTGGTGGGGGCGCCGTGTAGCCCAGCTACTTCAGCAGGCTGAGACAGGAGAATGGCGTGAACCCGGGAGAGGCGGGAGCTGAGATGGAGCCAGAGATCACACCACTTGCACTCCAGCCTGGGCAAGAGAGCAAGACTCTGTCTCAGAAAAAAAAAAAAGAAAACAACAAAGACTCACAAGTGGATTCATGCTATCTGCTGCGGATGGGTGTCCCAATAATTCGACAAATTCAATCCACTAAAGAACATACTCGTATACGACCTGCGTCCCCATGAACCCTATGGAAATATTACTATATATATTTTAAAATTTTTGGAGGGTTAGGAAAGGTAATGCTGTAGGAAGGAGGGGGCTTATTTGTCATGTGATTCTATCTTGCTCCAAAAAACAGCCTGTGTCACCTCAGGATTTTTAAGTAATTCCTGAGCATGAATTACCTTTTCCTAATCCTTTAGATAGTGTTTGTAATTTCGGTTCTACTGTCACAGTGTCTGTTTTGTGAGTCTGATATGATGTCAATGAACATGAATGTAGACCAGTTGCTGTGTGTCTATATTGCTAAAAGGTTGATGACAATATAAGGGGCTGCTCTGATCTTCCCATCACAGCGGGGACTCCATTTGAGGGGGGGTGTTTTTTTTTTTTTTTTTTTTTTTGAGACGGAGTTGCATCTTGGTTGTCCAGGCTGGAGTTGCAATGGCGCAAGGGCGGCTCACCGCAACTACCGCCTCCTGGGTTCAAGCTGATTGCTCTGCCTCAGCCTCCCAAGTAGCTGGGTATTACATGTAGCATGCGCTACCATGCCTCGGCTCAATTTTGTATTTTTAGTAGAGACGAGTTTCTCCATTGTTGGTCAGGCTGGTCTTGAACTCGCTGACCTCAGGTGATTCACCCGCCTCTGCTCTCTCTCTCTCTCCCAAAGTGCTGGGATTACTGGCGTGACCAGTAATCCAAAATTGGATTTACCAAATTAGGTTATAATTTATATTCAATATTGGATTACCCAGCCATTTGATGTGGTTTTTTGGTGATATGTGCCTTAAGAGCAGTCAGTTCTTAGTGTGTAATGTGTTGGGTGGGGGGGCTGCTTAATTTTGTAATAGCTGAAGGTTTGTTGTGTGTTGTGTTTTCTTTTATAGATGTGTGAAAGGAAAATAAAACTTCAGGACCCCAATTTCTATATCCAAAAGGAAAATATTTAAGCTAAAAGCTGAGTCAAGCAAGATTAAGTTGGCGCTTTGTTGTTCTAACGTGAAGTAGCTTACAGGATAAATTTTTATAAGGTGTTGTGGCGGCCTGCTATTCAAGCCTGTAAGACCCTGAAAGACAGCCTGTTATAGAAAAAAAGGCAAAAGTGTGACAAAATCACCTCTGCGAGTAAGAACTTTTGTGCATTTGTCCTCTCAATTGTAGCAAGATAAACTCATAGTCCTAGTAAGTTGCTTTGGTGAAGTCATGCTCTAGTGATTGGTAAGAGTGGTTAATAGCACATGTCATTCTTTTGGTATGTATGGAGTCAGAAGTGAATGAGCTCAAATCCTGTTATTATGGATCACCTTATTGATATATCACTTAAATTGAGATTAAAGGAAATTGATGATTAACACATGTTTGCCTCGAGTTAAGCATGATCCTTGTGTCCATATGAACGTACAATTCTTAATCTCTTCCCTACCCTACTCCCAGATTCTCAGCCGAAATCGATATAGAGCAAAAGAATTAAAGGAGAACGGACCGAAGTGACTACATCCTGGTCCCTAACTATTAGAAGATGGTTGATGCACAACCCTGTGATCATTCTACTTGAAATACAAAAAAATTACAAAAAACTAGTCCGGGGTCCAAATTCGCACTGATTTCAAAACCATCATGCCAAGAAAGATTGAGTTTAGGTTGGTGCTTAAGGGTCAACCTGGAGAAAGTAACAATCCTTAATTGTCAAAAGATGATCACCTAGACTCAACATCGGAGAAATTGGATTTTCGGCCGAACGCATGGATGGAAAAGCTACCTGTCTTACTTTTTGTTGCCACCACACCCAGCTAATATTTGTACTTTTAGTAGAGATGGGGTTTCACAATATTGGCCAGGCTGGTCTTGAACTCTTGACCTCAGGTGATCTAGCGGTAGCATCAGTGCCTGGGGCAGGTACCCATTACTTAGCATTCTGGGAAACGGAGTCTCCCTTTCCCCAGGGGAGTTAGAGAAGACTCTGCTCCACCACCTCTTGTGGAAGGTCTGACATCAGTCAGGCACCCCCGCAGCCATCCGGAGGCCTGAACGTCTCCCTGTGATGCTGTGCTTCAGCGGTCATGCTCCTGGTCTGCTTTCACGTTCCACCCTGGCACTGCCTTCTAGGTAGCAGTAGCAGAATTAGTGAAAGTACTAAAGTCTTTGAAATGCATAGAAGAAATAATGACATAAGCTGTCTTCTCTCTCTCTCCACTTCAGCTACCAAACAGGGAAGGGCCCCCTGTCCGGTGGACACGTGACTCGCGTGACCTTACCTATCATTGGAGCTGGCTCACACTTCATACCGTCCCCCCTTGTCTTGTATCCAATAAATAACAGCGCAGCCAGACATTCGGAGCCACTACCGGTCTCCACATCTAAGTGGTAGTGGTCCCCCGGGGCCAGCTGTCTTTTCTTCTATGTCTTTGTTTTGTGTCTTTATTTCTACCATCTCTCATCTCCGCACATGAGGAGAAAAACCCACAGGCCCAGTAGGGCTGGACCCTACAACTGGCGCTCCAACGTGGGTTTCTCCCTCACTGTGTGAAGTTGCGCTTTGAGCGCAGGACTCAGCAAAGGATTTCAACCACAGATTCCTGAGGATTGTGGTCAATAAGCTTGGTGGTAAGCTTGGGCACTCAGAGTATCCCGGGGACACCATGGGACTGGCCAGTACTAAGTACTCAGCTTATTTAAACTTTATAAAAACTCTCCTTAAAGAAGGAGGTGTAAAAGTTTCTACTGATAAGTTAATTGAATTGTTTGAGGTTGTAGATCTTCCTTGCCCTTGGTTTCCAACTGAGGGAACTTTAGAATTTAAAGATTGGGATGAGATTGGCAGACAATTCAAAATTGCTCATAAAGGGGGACACGTTATTCCGCCCACTATTTGGCCAATCTGGGCTTCGGTTCGCTCTGTCCTAGACTCCTTACAGACTCAGGAGGGCAACATGGAGACTGATCCCTTTCCTCTCCTCTAAGGAGGCTGAGGAAGTTCTCAGTTCTCTTTCCCCTGAGGATACTGCGCAGATTGAGGCCGTAATTCTACAGGTGGACTTCCACTCTGACATTCCTGTGCCACCGCCGCCTACTGCAGAGCCTGCTGCGCCCCCATTATCGCTTTATGATGAACTTTTAACTGATCTCAATGAGCTTATTTCCCCCAACCAGCAAAATCCAGCTGAAACATATTATCAACAGCCTTCACGGTCAGACCCTCCTACCTTTCCTCACACTCTCAACTCTCCAGCTATGCAGATAGAAGATGACATGATGCAGCCTGAAAAAGGGGCTCTAAACTGTTTCCATGCAGCCTGATACAGAGGCTCCGATTTCTACACAGCCTGGTGAAGAGGCTCTCAATTCTTGGCCCGGTAATGAGGCCCTCAACCCTATCTCTGTTCACCCTGCTGTAGGGTTCTCAACCTTCTGCTGTTCCGCCCAGTAACGAGACCCTCAACCCTATCTCTCCGCAGCCTAGTTTTTCATTTCTCATGCCTGTTTCTCTTTCGGCAACTCAGGCTGCCTTGAAGCCTGGGTCCCTTCCGACAATTCGGGATCCCTTGAAGCCTCATGCTCCCTTCAAGCCTGGTCCACAGATACCTCGACAGCCTGGATTTCAGGCCCATGAAAGACCTGCTCAGCAGGTAATCTCCTCTTAGCCAGGTCTACAGATCCTCAACTCTTCCTCCATTCAAAATTCCAACCTTTTTCCGCTTCCAGTCTGGTCGCTACTGCTGTTGCCAACACCACCATTGCCGCTCATCAGCAACAAGTTACATACATCCCTGAAAATGACACTCCGCTTATGAAAGCTACAGCACAGGCAAGAGAATATGGGGATCCCGAAGCCTGGCAATTTTACAGCCTCCAATACCCGCTGTCCCATTGGCACAAAATCAGCCACAGCCCGTTGATCCTGCTCAGCAGGCAGCTGACCCCACAGCTCCTCAAGATCAACAGCCTGACAATCAAGCCCCTCAGCCTGACAATCAGGCTGCTCAGGGAAATAATCAGGCTCCACAACTGCCTGCCACTGGGACACAGCCAGTTCCTGGTATTCCTGCTGTCCAGGCAGTAGTTCAACCTGACCCCATACATCCAGGCCAGGTTCAGCTATGCCCTGCTACTTAGGAAAGTCTTTCTTTTAAATTCCTCAAAGATTTCAAAGAATCAGTGAAGCAGTACGGCACCAACTCTCCTTTTGTCCATTCCACATTAAAAGCCCTGGCAGAAGATAAACGTTTGGTGCCCTATGGCTGGGAAATTTTAGCAAAGTCAGCCTTATCTAAATCCCAATATTTACAATTCAGGACTTGGTGGGTTGATGCTGTCCAGGAACGCATTCGTCTTCATCAGGGCTCTAATCCTCCTGTTAACGTTATGGCTGACCAGTTACTGGGAATGGGCCAGTGGGCTGCAATTCAAAACCAAACTATTCTAAATGATGAGGTTATTGAACGATTCTGAAAATGCTGCCTAGATTCTTGGGATAAGATTCAAGATGATGGCAAATTATGCCCATCTTTTACACCCGTCAGACAGGGACAACATGAACCCTATCCAGACTTTATTGCCCTTCTTCACGACGCAGAAGAAAAAGCTATCCCTGATAGCCACGGCCAACAACTTGTTGTAAAACTTATGGTTTATGAACAAGCAAATCCAGACTTCCTCTCCTTACCACTATTTAGGAATGCAGCTAGAAGACAAGGTTATTAAGCCCCCAAAAGTTCAGCTCAGACAAGACTCTTTAAAAACTCTAAATGATTTCCAAAAATTACTTGGAGATGTTAACTGGATTCGCCCCTCCTTAGGCATTCCTACATACGCGACGTCTAATCTTTTTGCAACGTTGCGGGGCAATCCTGATTTACACAGCAAAGGGTCTTTGATCCCTGAGCAGATTCTGAATGACAACTTACAGAAAAACACATTCAACAATCTCAGGTTACCAGGGCAAATCTACACCTACCTTTTGAAATACTAATCTTTCCTAATGAACATTCATCAACAGGACTCATTATCCAGGGACCTCATTTACTTGAATGGTGTTTTCTCCCACACAGCTCTTTACGGACACTTACCATTTACCTAGATCAAATTTCTATCTTAATTGGTCAGCCTCGTTCTCGTCTCCTTTGTCTTTTGGGTACAGAGCCCCAAAAAATCATTGTTCCCCTCACCCGATTACAGGTCCAATAGGCTTTTGCAACCTGCATTGCTTGGCAAGTAGATTTGGCCGGTTTCCCGGGTATAACTGACAATCATTATCCTAAGCGTAAAACTATTCCAGTTCCTTAAACTCACTTCTTGGATCTTACCTAACATTACTAGAAACACTCCATTAGCTGAAGCTGTCACTGTTTTTACTGATGCTTCCTGTAATGGCTGAGCAGCACATACAGGGCCAAAAGAACATGTTCTTAACACAGGAGCAACTTCTGCACCAGCTGAGCTAATCCCTGTCATGGCTGTTCCTGAAGATTTCCCTGAACCAGTTAACCTTGTTTCTGATTCTGCACACGTAGTACATGTTGTTCACAAAACTGAAACTGCCTTCATCAAATTTCTGCCTGATGATAACCTACTTTTTCTTTTCCAAAGGTTTCAGTCCCTACTCAAGAGCAAGGTCTTCTCCTTTCTACATTACTCACATTGGGGCTCACACGCCCCTCCCCGCCTCAGCAGCCAATGCCAAAGCTGATACATTAGTTGCTCCCGTTTTTACCGATGCAGAAAATTTTCACGCTTTAACTCATGTCAAAGCTGCCAGACTCCGGACTCCGGAAAAAGTTCCCCCTTACATGGAAACAAGCTAAAACCATTGTAGGTCACTGACCTACTTGCCAGGTACTAATTTTACAGCCACTTTCTTCATGAGTCAATCCTAGAGGACTTTCACAGAATGCTCTCTGGCAAATGGAGGTGACTCATTATCCAGCTTTCGGCAAACTCTCTTTTATACATGTAACTATTGACGCCTTTTCTCATTTTTCTGGGCCACATGTCAAATGGGGGAAAGTACAGCTCATGTTAAACGGCACATGCTTTCCTGTTTTTCGGTTATGGGCTGTCCCGAGAAACTAAAAACTGACAACGGTCCTGGCTACACTAGTGCTGCTTTTAAAAAGTTCACTCAAACACGGACAATTACTCACACAACTGGCATCCCCTATAACTCTCAAGGACAAGCATTGGTAGAACAAGCTAATAAAACACCCAAAGATCAACTTCGAAAACAGGACACTAGGCCAGGCATGGTGGTTCCTGCCTATAATCCCAGCACTTTGGAAGGCCGAGGCAGGCGGATCACCTGAGGTCAGGAGTTCGAGACCAGCCTGACCAATATGGAGAAACCCCAACTCCACTAAAAATGCAAAATTAGCCGGGTACGGTGGCGCATGCCTGTAATCCCAGCTACACCGGAGGCTGAGGCAGGAGAATTGCTTGAACCTGGGAGGTGGAGGTTGTGGTGAGCCGAGATCGTGCTATTGCACCCCAGCCTGGGCAACAGGAGTGAAACTCCGTCTCAAAAAAAAAGAAAAGAAAACAGGATACTAAAGCGAAGAGGGATGCTTCTATCCCTCATTGTCAGTTAAATCTGGCCCTTTTTACACTAAATTCTTGAACCTAGTAAGAAATCAACCTTTTACTGCAGCAGAACATTTCACTGGAAATAAATTTGATCCACAAAAAGGAAAGCGGGTATGGTGGAAGGATGCAAAAACTGACAAATGGGAATTAGGCACCGTGGTAACACAGGGGAGGGGTCTCGCTTGTGTTTCCCCAGGAGAAGGACAACAACCTGTGTGGGTTCCCTCCCGGCAACTGAAATTACATTATAACTCCAAAGATGAAAAGCTCTCAGAAACAAAAGGCGAAGAACCGTCAGAAATCGAAGGGCAAGGTTTGCCGCCTGACACATAAACTTCATGACCTCAACATTAGGACAAAATCTCGCCATGTGACCCACAATGCCATTCTACTCCACCAACATGGGGTCAGATAAAGGTCTTATCACATCAAACAGAAAAATTACTACAAGAAAAAGGAATTCCAAAAATGACAGGTAATATAATTCTGCCTGCTTTTATGGTAGTCAGCGCGGTGGTGAGCATACCAGGGGTTGGGGCAACTGAAAATTATACCTACTGGGCATATGTTCCTTTTCTCCCTTTAATTCTGTCTCCTGGATGGACTCCTCAGTGAAAGCTTACACTAATAATAATGCATTCATGCCAGTCGCTAATGATGACAGGTTTCCAGCTCAATCAGAAGAAGGTATGCACTTTCTTTCTTTTTTTTTTTTTTTGAGATGGAGTCAGGCTCTGTCGCCCAGGCTAGAGTGCAGTGGAGCGATCTTGGCTCACTGCAAGCTCCACCTCCTGGGTTCATGCCATTCTCCTGACTTAGCCTCCCAAGTTGCTGGGACTACAGGTGCCCGCCACCACGTCTGGCTAATTTCTCTATTTTTAGTAGAGATGGGGTTTCACCGTGTTAGCCAGGATGATCTTGATCTCCTGACCTTGTGATCCGCCCACCTCGGACTTCCGAAGTGCTGGGATTACAGGCGTGAGCCACCGTGCCTGGCCAAGGTATGCACTTTCATTTGTCAGTCGGCTACAAATATCCACCACTATGCATTGGAACGTCGCCTGGCTGCTTAGCTTATTCTTATCAGAATTGGATGTGGACTGTACTGTCCTCTAGTTATGATTCTTATCAAGTACCTAATGTGTTCAGTAGCAATTATTTTCAACTTATGACTGTTAAAACCTAATCTACATGAGGAATGGAGGGTTCCTGTTACCACAAATAATAAAACAATAGGACTGCTAGACTGCTCCAAGGAACCTACAAAGGGACCTTTTTTAGTAAATTCAATTGTATGGAATGATTGTAATGCTTCAAAGTCCATAGTGTTCCAAAGTCTAGCTACAGGTGTTATTGACTGGGCTCCAAGAGGGTATTATTGGCGGAATTGCTCTGGCCAAAATACGAAATACTCGTTGTTTAGTTTTTTGTTAGATTATGTAGAGGACGGATGGCAGTCCTACAGGTTGAGGGAATAGGTGTCTCCTTACCCATTTAAGTGGATAGACACAGGCACAGTTTTTCCTAGATCAAAAATGATACACCCAATGGTTAACCCAGAACATCCTGAATCATGGAAATTAGCTGTAGCCATGACAGGAATAAGGCTATGGAACGCTATCTATCAACTCTCTCCTACTAATACCAAGCCACCCATATTCAACATCGCCTTGATGTCAGAACAGGTGATACCTATCAAGAGCTGTGTCCACCCCCCCCTTATATGCTGTTATGGAAATGTAATTATCACTCCCAATACACGAACTATAGAATGTGATAACTGTAAGCTGTTCACGTGTATCAATGCTACTTTTAATCCCAGAACAAGTATTCTCTTGGTAAGGGCTAGGGAGGGGCTATGAATACCAGTTTCTTTACATCGCCCATGGGAGTCTTCCTCCTCTATACACATAGTCAGTGAA